GGGGGGGGGGGGGGGGGGGGGCGAGGGCGGCGCCGCCGGCGGCCGGGAGGCGTGGGGCGCAGGAGCGGCCCCCGCCCCATTGCACGGTGGCAGATGCGCATGCTGCACCATATGTACTGCCGTTACGGCGCGCTGCTGCCCGGCAGCTGCCCTGGCTGCTGACGGCCAAAAGCGCGGCGACGCTTGCGGCGCGCCATGAGTGGTTTTTGGCAAGTCAGTAACGCCACGATCAATAGCAAGTAACAGCCAGGTTTCGATTGGCCTGGGCCCCCGTCGCCACCCGAGCGAGGGCTGCCCTCACAATCAGTTGGTTCCCCCACAGGGACGGATGTACGGCCTGGGCGCGGCCCCGTTACAGAACAAAGAGTGTGTGCAACATCTGGACGGCGGCGGACCCTCAAACACCAGGGGAGGACTCGCATATGAAGGGCGCTTGCTGCGGAGAAATATCGTCCACTCGCACCAAGGCTACCATGCTCATCACGCACAAGGCCTGCAAGGGGGCCGCCTGTCGGCCGCTACCAGCGCGTGGCGGTCCTGCGCGCCGAGCAGCAGCACGGATGCAAGTGAGCGTGTGGCGCAAAGGATGTTGGGCTACCACACATTGGTTTCGACCGCCGTCAGGCTCCAGAGGAGGGGCGCGAGGTTGGTTGGACGCCATGCACCAGTGGAGGGTAGAACCTGACAGGGGGCACTTCCGCAGAATTTGCACTTTGGCAATTTATCTCGCCCCCGTGTCAATCGCTTCGCATTCATGCCTCATCGAATATAAAGGAAAGTTCTGTTGGATAAAAATCCCAGACACCCCCCCCCCCCCGCCCTGCCGTGCCAGCACAGAAGTGTACGTAGTCGTGCAGATGCACCGCCACCGCCAACTCGCCCCTGCGGCGGGGATTTCAGCTGAGCCACAAGAGTTTACTGGGCCTCGCTCCGGGCCTCGTTTCATTATTGCCTTGACGTTGCCCCACACCGCCATCTGTGTTGCTGCCTTACACACAAGGTAAAGCGACACCCTCGCCCAGCCTGCTTCTCATCAAGTCCAGCGCCCATTGGGCACTCGACGTTGGGTCAGACGTTGCCCACCAAGCAACTAGGGACACCAGCCCCAAGGGCAGAGCCGGCTGCGCCGCGTCGGGCAAGGCCGCTGTCCGAATGCCGCGCCCTTGCCTGGTGCTGGCCCTTGCCCAGCAGTGATGGCAAGGGCCAGCGCCCGGGCCCTTGCTTGGGCCAAGCAGGGGCGCTGGCAGTGCGCGCAGTCCACTTTCCCATACCTAAACGCGAGCCAGACTGTTCGGGCAACTCGATCATTGCCGCTGCAGTCGCAATGAATGAGGCGTGATATTGCGGCGTTGCTGCAATCATTTGGAGGGAAACGCGCTTGTGCCGGACTTGGTACCGTGAGC